AGATGGAGTTTCACTCTTGTTGACCAGGCTGGAGTGCAAAGCAACAGTGCAAACTCAGCTCACTGCAACCTCCGCCTCCCAGGTTTAAGTGATTCTCCTGCCTCACCCTCCCGAGTAGCTGGGATTACAGGTGCCCACCACCACATCCAGCTTATTTTTTGTTTTTTTCGTAGAGACTGGGTTTCACTTTGTTGGCCAGGCTGGTCTCAAACTCCCAACCTCAGGCAATCCACCCGCCTTGGCCTCCCAAAGTGCTGGGATTACAGGCGTGAGCCACCACGCCCATCGAATCAGTTTTTTTAAATACCCCTTAAGTCAGTCTTGAGAACACAGAATTGCCTAGTGTTTAAAAATGCAGACTCCAAAGCCACATTGCCTGGGTTGGAGTCAGATCTGCTATTTATTTGCTGAGCCCCAGTTTACCCAAAATGGGTTAATAATTGTGCCTACCTCATAGGGTTGCTGGGAGAATAAATGGATATACATAAAGGACTTCAGTAGTACCTGGCCAACAAATATTAGTTACATTAAGGAGATTTTGTATTACGGAGGCACTTTTTAATTTTGGAGAGACCAGCTTTCCTGTATTTGTTTGTTTTCCCAAATCTGAAAGTCTGCCCTGTACAGGTTTGCATGGACACCGTGGCCCAGTACAGTTGCACTCCCTATCTGACCTGCACCATTCTCAAGAAAATGCTTCTGAGCTTTTGCTTCTGACTTCTTTATCGTACTCTGACAGCCATCCCGTGGCCTCCTGGCAAAAAGTAGCTGGATTTCATTAAAATTCAGTCTGTCTTGATACAGTCTCTGCTGGATGTAAGAGGGGATGGCTACCAATTGAGCCTTAGCAACCTGATTAAGACTGCCTCTGGGCTGGAATGTTCTAAGATCTCTAAAATTACTGTTGATAAAGTTTCTCTCCATGTCTACCCACTTCCTTATGCCCTGTTCCCCTCCATCCCATCTTACCAGCACGGGAGCTCAGCCAAGCCTCCTGTGGCTTTCTGCAGTTGATCACTGAGATGATTCTTCATTTTTCAGGTGCAAGTTCTCTGCTGTCATCCTGAGTGCCCGCTCCCAGGCTCTCTGTATGAGTGACGCTTCGGTCTGCCATGGAACCTGGCCCTGCTCTGGCCTGGCTCCTGCTCTTGAGCCTGCTGGCGGATTGTCTGAAAGCTGCTCAGTCCCGAGACTTCACAGTGAAAGACATTATCTACCTCCACCCTTCAAGTAAGACTGTTCTCTTTGCTGCAGAAATATCACTTTATCTCAATTAAGAAGTGGTTCCAAAACCAGTCAGGAGAAGGCATCCTTCAGTATAGTGAAAACCTCTGGTGATTTAATTAGGGGGGCGCGGCAATTTACAAAAGATGTTTTATGCTTTACCCTCACCTTTTCACAAGAAGATTTTTGGTGGTGTTAAGGCAAATTATTGGGCTTGTTTTCTCTGTTCCCTACACAATCACTCTGATTCTGAACACTCTTCCCCTTGTACTCATGCCGGTCCTAAGTCGGCTGTTAAAGTGAACCACCATATCCCAGAAGGAGGATTGTTTGTAAAAGATCAATCCTTTATAGGTGAGATAATAGCTGGTCTTCCTCCCTGTGCATCTAATTCTCAATTTCAGCGTAATTTCCTCCCACAACTTCCAATGCCCTCTGCCTCCTTTTGGTTTCCTATATTTAAGAATTATCTAGGGAATGCATAATAACATAGATGCCCGGATCCCTGCCCCAGAGTTTCTGATTTGCATGTATCTCAGGCTGTACCTGTGGATTTTTGCTTTCAGCAAGAACTTCGAGTATTTCTGCTGCAGATATTCTAAGGATCACACTTTAGGAAACACAGCAGTTTGACTTCCTCTTTCGTTCTCTATCTTTGTATTTATTGTGTCTGTTTGTATGAATCGTCTTCTCTATTGCCCCTGTTGAGGTGAGAGCTGGTTGTATTGTGTGTATTCTGACCTTCAGCTTTTGCCCCAAGGTGTATGACTCTTTTGAAATGCTCTGCTCAACACATATAGTTTCAGTGTCCACTGTGTGTCAAGGATTGTGATAGGCTTGAAAGCATAAAGGCAAATCAAACACAGTCCTTGCTTTTGAGGATCGCATAGTCTACAAAGTGAAGGCAGCCATGTGGACTCCTTCAATCCACGTGGTTGGAATATTTAATGTCTGCATGTTCTGAGTTAGCTGAGAGGTGGTATGCAGAATGCCCTGGGGCTTGGAGTCCACCCACTAGGGTCAGCAACTAGCTTGGCTACTTTGTGGCCTTTTGACTTAAAATAAATTCCCTGTCATTGTGAAGATTAAATTTAAAACGTGTATGAAGCACTTAGCACTGAGTGTGAGACATAGGAAATGCTCAATCAATGTTAGGAGAGTTCTTTGTGTTAATTTTGTCTTTTCTAAAGTGATAAAGTAATATAGTACATACTCCGTAGCATTATTTTATGGAACAGAAATAATATCTGTAAATCACTAGGCCTATACCACACCAGCAATCAAATGGTTGTTTACATTGTTGCTTTTATTATCATTGGCTTAGTAAACTGGGGGTGCTGAGAATATACTGCTCCAGTGTTGTATAACTCCCATACACTTTTAATACACAGCAAATAATTTCTTTAGATTTCTATTGTCTCTGTACCCTCTTACCAGTATAGTCTGGTGCCCACTGGTTAATCATATGGAAGACTTATATGACTGCTTGTTTCGTGGGGCTTTTTATTTTAATAATATGCATGAAGAGAAGGTGCTTTCATATTTGTTCTGTTTTCTAGATTGCATTTTGCTCTTTTCTCCAAACAGGCATGCTACTTTATTAGACTTGGTGAATCAAAAACCTAGGTTTCTGTCTCTTAGGGTTGATTGCCAGAGTTTTCAACTTCTGTGTGATTCTTTCTCAACTTCAGTGACAGACTCAGTAGTAACTGGGCTGCAGAAAAGGTCCACACTGGACCTACACGGAGGCTGTGATTGTACACACAGAGTGGGAAGGAGAATTAAGGTGATTGGATTTAACAACACACACACCACTTCTGCCTCAGTAGTGTAGTGGGTCAGTGCCCTGTGTGGTGGGCCACTATTTGGAAAGTCAATTTCAAAAGGAGGTCTTGAAGGCTGAGTCTTGCAAGCCGAGGGAAATCACTTCTGCTCTTGAAAAATTGATGGAAAAGTTCTGCTCATATGACCAATGTTAATTAAATAAAGCCATGGCCTGATTAGAAGAAACTCGCCATATGTAAAGAATTAATAGGGCTTTCTCTTCCCCTCACTGGCCTGAGGTGATCTGTAAAAATAGTTCACTATAAACTTGACCTGGAAAACCAAATCATGCAAATCAGGGTTCAGATCTTCATGTTCACTTTAAGAACGCCTGTGAAAGTGCCCAGGCCATCAAGTGTATGCCTGTACAAAAAGCCACTAAGTTGTCTGAAAGATGTCATTTTACAAAACTAATGTCTACCATTCTAACATTACAATGGTGGAGTTGGTAGGTGGGCCCAGGCCAAACAGTGAGGCTGAACATAGGATCAGTGGCCTGAAAAGAGTGCTAATTTTTTGCCGCCCATGCTTAAAAACACAGAGAGTCATGCTGTACTTAAGGGTTTAGATGTAGATTTCCTGGTCATTGAGCCTATCCAGGTGAGCAAGGGATCCAAGATGCATGGCTGAACTTACTTAAAGAGCCGTTCATGAGCTCCCCCTGTCACATCGAGGTGACCCTTACTGAAAAGAATCAAATTGTTCCTAAACCAGAAGAGGAGGTTGCAGAGAAGAAAAAGACATCCCGAAAGAAACTGAAGAAAGAAAAACATATGGCATAGGAATAAATGCAGCATAAAACAAATACAAATAAAAGTAAAAGAAAAAGAATTGGTGAGGTTTTCTGATATGATTTTGAGATATGGAGAAGGACAGAAGTTCTTCCTAAGGGAGATTATAAGTAGATGATTCACCAGCAGATCAGGGTCCAAGTTCTCGTTAGAGTCTCCCTCCATAACTTATGATGGGAATACTGTATAAATTCTTGTTAGAGTGAAGTTACTATGAATGGCTCCTACTTGGCCAGAACTTTGTTTATTCTGTCAATTTATTTTTATTTTTAGTTTTATTTTTTGAGACAGAGTCTCACTCTGTCGTCCGGATTGGAGTGCAGTGGTGCGATCTCGGCTCACTGCAAGCTCCGCCTCCTGGGTTCACGCCATTCTCCTGCCTCAGCCTCCCGAGTAGCTGGGACTATAGGCAACCACAACCACACCCGGCTAATTCTTTTTTTTTTTTTTTTTTTAGTAGAGACGGGTTTCACCGTGTTAACCAGGATGGTCTCGATCTCCTGACCTCATGATCCTCCCATCTCGGCCTCCCAAAGTGCTGGGATTACAGGTGTGAGCCATCATGCCCGGCCTGTTCTGTCCACTTTTAAATCAGCGTTAACTTCTAATTTCTTTGAACTATTTTACAAGTTTGTGGTGTGTGTGTTTTCACACTTTGATTTTTTAAATGGCATGGTTCTCTGTCCTTGAGCAATAGACCGTAGTAAGATGTAGTCTCTACAAATAAGCAGGTATCTGTTGAACGTAGATGGTAAAAAATATATGAGGGAAGTCTGGGATTAGTTTGGTTTTGAATTATTTATGTAGTCACCTCACTTTGTAGATGAAGGCACAAACAGGGTTCTTTTGTGAGTGAGCCACATTTCATTAATGTTACAATATGTAACATGAAGCTCAGAACCTGCTGAAGGAGGAATGTAGTGATGCTGGAGGCATGAGAACACACACACATTTTCTGTACCAGACAAGCAGAAGCTATTTTCTCCTCATTCCAATGCCCAGAACAGCCATCACTGACGATAACTGGGGAGAGATTGGAACCCAGGCTGGGAAAATTCAGCCTCCCATGACTAATCTTTTTTGCTCTCTGGTTTCCTAATCTTTGAAGTTTCTGAACATTTAAAAGAAAGAAACTTCATGGCTTTCAAATCTGAAGCAGTGTCGTCAATAATGTTCTTTTCTATAATCCTTGTGTCATTTGTTGTTGTTTTTTTCTTTGCTTGTTTTTATGTGAAAAATGAATTTCTTCCCAGCCTATGATTAAAATACCAAATCAAATAAAAACTTTCAAAACAAGAGTTAGTATTAAGAGAAATGGAGCTGCTTATTTGGTAGTCAGACATCATAAGAGATAGCAGAATTTAATATACTAAGTGGCTGCAACCTATTCTTGGCCTCTGTTTCTTTCCTTTGAATAGAAGGAAACCTTTCCTAAGAATATCCAATTTTCCTCTGGTTGCATGTTTTGAATCTTTCCTTAATCATGTGCACCAAAGAGCTGTATTCCTGTGGGGGCTTGTTTGTGCCCACGTAGAGAGCCAGATAAGTTTGTTCAGACTATATTACGTAAATCTTGGAGAATAAGAGGACTTTGTGGGAAGGTACCAGATAATGTATTTTTTTCTGTTAGAAATATGTCCCTGTTAAAATTGTACTCACAATATTTTGTTGCCAAGTGGACTGAGAAAAAACATTTATTAGATTTCTAGAATTTTTATATTTGCATCCAGTTTTCGGAAACAATGGAAGTTAATTTGGTAAGAATCAAAAAATGTTTGGATGCGTTACACATCAGCGTACCTTTCAAAACAAAAGTCTATTCTCACCACGGTTTTGGTAACTGAAGGCCTTTGTCTAGGCAGAAGTTCCAAGAGGTGGAAACAAAGACTAAATCTTTTCTGATACCGTACAAATGAATTATGGTCGGTTGAACTATGGCTGACCATGAGAGTTAATGGACAGATTATTTTACAGGAAGTAACTGGGCACTTTGGCGTTTCTTTTTTTCTTTACAATCACCTTCCCTTAAGGGACCAAGGACTTATGCCCTGAAATACAGGGTACTGAGCTTATTAACTCTGTGATCAAGAGCCAAATTAGATTCATTCACAGCTGGGGCCACAACAATTTGAAACTCCGCTTGCTCTGCAATGCTTTGAAGTAACAAAGAAGCAAATAGCACATCTCTTAGGAACCTCTTTCCGTCCTTTTTTTAAAAAAAAAAAAACCTCTTTATCAGATGCAGTGTCAGTTAGCAAGTCACTGGAGATAGTGATAGTTGTTCATCTGTAGACCTCATTTTTGGCAAAATATCCCAAGAGGGAAGAATTTAACCATTTACTTGGTATTATACCTTAATTATCCACTTAAAGCAGTATGTTTGCAGAGATT